ATCCTAACTTAGAAAACACATGTTTGTGACCTTAAGGTAAGTTTTTCTTTTAATTTGTAAACAGGACACAAAAGATATTGACTCTAAAGGAAATAGATAAATAGATTGTGTTACATTTAAGAATTTCTTTTATTGGAAGACACTACTGTAAGTGTAAAAAGACAAGCACAGGGAAAGATATCTGCAACATACGTAACTGCTAAAGGCCTAATACTCAGCATATGTAACAAAATCTTTCAAATAAATTAAAAATAAAATAAAAGGACAACCTAAATGAAAAAAGAGCCAAGAAATTTAAGCAAATCCATCACAAAAGAGCATATTCAAAAGGCTAACAAGTTTGTTTAAAAGTCTTAATATCACTAATCATCAGAAAAATGCCAACGAAAACCACACTGGGTATCATTTTAGGCTGTACAAAATGATGAAGCCTGAAAATACCAAGAACGTGAAAGAAGAAATATCCTTTACAGTCGGTGGGAGCATAAAACTGGAACAACTCCTTGGGAAAACTTTCTTGGCATTCATTACTTGAGTTGAATTTGTACCTAGCCTATGACCTCACAGTTACATTCCTAGGTTTATATCTAGCGGAAATGTATATATGTAAGCAAGGAGCATGTACCAGAATGTCCAAAACAGCACAATTACCAATAGTCCCAAACTGGAAACAATCTTAATGTCATCAAAAATAGAATGAATAAACTGGCATACAATAGGTAACTTTACAGCAACGTACCACAACCAAAAACAACAACACAGATAACTTTTATAAGCATAATGTTGAGTGAAAAACAGCCAGACCTGATGGATGCACAGTAAGTTATTTGGGGAAGACAAACTAGTTGGTCAGTGGGTGATTTCTGCAGGTCTAGCATTGTTCTAGTTCTTGAACTTGGTTGCTGCTTACCAGTGCAGGTACTTTGTCATAATTTACTGAGCTATAATATCTATTTTTGTGTATTTTCATGTATATGTATCATGCTTCACAATTACATTTTCTGTAAAAAGTATAGATTATTTCTCCAAAAAAAGTGAAAAAAATGTGATGAGAAAATATAATGTAGGATTTTAAATATTAAATAAGATTGGGATTTAAGCAGATGGCATAATGTAAAAATCGCTAGTACTAACCTCCAAATATCCACACAGAAGGGCAAAGTAAACTAAAAGGATTTTAGAAATCACCCAAGACCCTCTCCCTTTCTGCATCTGCAACCTCCCAACCCACTGCAGAGAAGTTTATCTGATCAGTTCTCTTCCTTGAACTGCCACCAACTACTTTAGAAATAGTCATATTAATACAGTCTGATACAACTGATACAATCTCAGCCTACCCCTGACTATACTCGAGTGTCCAGAAATTAGCATATCCTTCTATTTGCAATGTACTTTACAGTACAGGAATCACAACACTGATTTTCCATAAATTAATAAAGTATACGTTTTCATATCCATATATTTATAGTTCATACCTCACATGTGTTTGCTTTATCTTCTTAAGTGTAAGAGGCACACAAGGAAATCATTAAAAACACAAGCCTTTGAATTAGATTAGCCAGGGCTCAGGCGCCAGTTCTGTTGCCGGGGAAGCCAGCCACAGGTCTGAGCCTGCCTCCTCAGTTTGAAACTCAGGACACGTGACTGACCAGAACAGCTGTAAGGATTGAATGAGGGAGGAAATGTAAAATGCTTGGCATACTGGCTACTTCCAAGTAAGAATTCAGTAACTTAGTGCTTCTGTTGCATGTCATGCATGGAAACCATCTGGAAATTAGAGTAAGAAAAATATGTATTTTTTGTTTGTGATATTAGTACTTGGAGGTGGGAGGTGTGGGGTACTAATTTCTTGTCATTTTGATCAGAAGCCCAGAAACCCATAGTCGATCAAATGCCCCAAAATTAAGCTCACAAGGAACTAACCTATGGTCAACAGGGTTGTAGTGTTGATAAATAGAAGAAAACATCTGAACGTGTTGGGTCATTTTAAAAATCTCTGAAGGGTATGGTGTTTATTTTGCTGTGGAAGGGGTTGGTACTACTTACAGTGAACCGAGATGGGCAGGAAGATAGTATTTAAAGTTACTGAAGAACCTCCCTAAGGTGAGACTGGGTTCCCGTAAAAATAAAAGTTATGACGAAACCTTCACATCAACGCGTGGGAAATATTACCTAAACATCTAGATTCTCAGCTCACACGTGTCTTTCCTGAGGACAGAGTGAGGAGTTAACAGCAAAGGGAAATGTGGATGACCCTCTGACAAGTATGAAGGGGGAACTTGAAGAGGAAAGGAGAAAGGGGAGAAGTATATGGAAAACGACTGGCCCCAGATAAACGCCTGCCCACTCGTGGGGGATCTCCACAGCCCGCTGGCCATACACCTTCCCTCTTTGGGTAGGAGGAAGAACTTTATGAAACAGCAGCATGGAGAAAGGTCGGGCAATAAAGGAGGAATATGCCTATGTCTGCTTTTAGCCGCTTCCAGGCCATGAATGAACCCTATTTGAACAGAAATGCATGCAAGTCCTCAAGTTGAGATACCCAAAAAGAAAAAAAAAAAGGTTGATGGACCGAAATTAACATGATTTTTAAATAAACAGGCAGAAAACGGCAACTCAAGGCAACGTTGACGATATCCTAGTAACCTAGAGCCTTTCTTCAAATGTTCAGAGGTTACAACTGAATCAGTAATGTGGAAAAACAGAAACCACACTCGTTGTTTTAACAGGAAGAACTTACTATAAGGAACTGGTTAAGCGGATATTAGAGAACTAAGAGAGAAAACAGGATAGATTTAGGGCAAATGGGACCAAGAGACGGAGGGAGGGGTCGGGGGGAGGGGGCATAAAGAGAATTAAGATGCGCTATGTACACGGAGCGTGTACTGCAAACATGTAATAAAATTTTTTAAAACTATAAAGCATACTGGGATTGAAACAGAAGGTAACTACTAGAAGCAACTGCCACCCTCAAAGCAGAAGGAACAAATTGGACCGGCGGCTCTACCCGGAAGAGGAGCCTCACAAACCCCGCCTGGGGATCCTGAGATTTACTAGCTTTCCCAGAGATGGAGTGAAGCGGGCTCTGGGAGCACAAGAAGAAACTAGAAACAAGAACCAAAAGCGGCTGGAGCTGGCTGCTCGGCCCGGGTAGACGCACGCGTGGCGCCGCTAGGACAACAGCGGGTACCTAGCAGGGAGCCTGGCCTTTCCCTTCCAGCTGCGGGAGCTGCAGGCGCCCCACAACTAACCGGACAGGTGGTCTGGGGAGTCCCAGCCTAAGGGACAGCCTGGCCTGGACTCCTTCCTGTTCCGAAGTATTTCTGGCAAGGGAAGAGCTAGCACGAGTAGGGGCTCCGTTCTTCCTTTTCAGAACGGTTTGGGGTTTGTTTTTGGTTTTTGGTAGTGGGAATCGAACTCAGGACCTTGCACTTGCCAGGCAGGCACTTATGCCACTGAGCTATACGCCCAGCCCGGTTCTTTCTCTTACTTCTTCCCCACCAAAATAAAATAAAATGTTTCAATTACCAAATCCCTTTTTTTTTTTTTGGTAAAGTAAGAGTAGTTGATTCGATTTTAGGGTCTTTCTCTTTATCTGTGCATTTGAAAACTGGCCCACCCGGAGGCATGAGACGACACATCCGAGGTACATCGTCTGTGCGTTTTGAGGCTTTACGGGGTCTGCGAGGACCAGCGCCAGGCCGGCTCTCCGGCGGCTCGCACTGTCAGCGCGCCCTTCCCTTTGTTAATCTCACCCCCGGACCCAGACCACCGCCCCTCGGCTGCGGGACCTCAGCAGCGTCGCTGGACTGTGGCTTCCCCTTCCCCCTCGGCGAAATGGGCGGGTTCCCAACCGCAGCTGCTGCGGGCCGATGACCTCAGCACCCGGTGTGCCGAGCGCTCCGTCGAGCCGGGAAACGCCTGCCGCCTCCGTCCTCCTTCTGGGGCTAACCCAGGGTTTTAAGCTTCGGTCAGATCGCGGGAGAGCCGGAGTCACTCCACCCGCCTGCGCTCCTCGCCCTCCCTCCCGGAGCGCGCGCTCGCCGGTGGTGACCCGGTTGGCTGAACCGAACCCCCGCCCCGGAGAGAAAGGGGCGGGGCGCTGGCTGGTGTGTGCACCCCTCTGGGGAAGCGGGTGCCCGCTGCGGGTCCCGCTGCGGGTCTCGGGGAGCCTGGGCGCGCGAGCGCGTGGTGCCCGGGATGTGACCTTGCCGCGCCCCCATGCGGGCCCCGGAGAGCCCCGCGCCCGGCC